ATGAACTTATCTGCCTTTGCCACTCCTGTTCTCTACTGAGCATACAGAGGCATTTTTAAGAGTCTGCATGACATCTGATGACACCATCACTCTAAAAGCTAACAGAATGGAAGTTGTTTTAAATTTTTCTCAGTCTTAATTTCTAACGGGGTAAATATCAATAGACAGAAACCACATAAAAGCCCTCTGGCATCCTCGAAAATATTTAAGAGTATATAGGGCCAAAAATCTTGAGAATCATTGCTATAAAACAACATTTTAGTTAGTTGCTTTTGGAAAGGAACTTTTAATATGTGAAACTAATTAGAATGAGTTTAAGTTTATATCTTCAGGGGAAAAAGAAATAAGAAATGTTTTACTATCTTAAATTTTTGATCCCTTAGGAGGAAGATTTTTCCACATAGATCCCCAAATTATCTTTCCCCTACAAGTAAGCACCATGATGGAAGTCTCACTGCCTGGAAGGGAGCATGCACACCCCTACAGTAGTGAGCCCCTAACACGAGCTGTTCCTACAAGTAAATGATCTCAAAGCCCTTCCCAGTGGCTATGTAAACCAGCCAGTACCATGAGGCCCCAGCTCCCCAGAGTTTTACAGAGGAATGTGGAGAACCAACCGTGACATCTCAACATCGCTAAGGGATCTCAGAGCTTCAGAGAATGGGAAACAAGCTCCTTTTTACAAAATCATGCTGATGCTGGAAAGGAAGGAGAGGTGTAAGGCACTGCTTATGCTGGTGTCACATCCTCTCGGGCCACCTTTTCAGCATGTACAGCTGCTTGTCATAGCAAGTGTGGCCAGAGATCCATGCCTCACTGCACGGGGATCTCTCTCTCCTCAGCAGCTGCTGGTCTCGGGAAGGCTTCTCAGGAGGCCCCTCCGGCACAAATACAAACCTGGAAGGGTGAGGGCGTTTCATCCCTGGAGCACCCCTGACCAGCAGACCATGGGAGCCAGTGGATAAATACTCCCCTCTCCATGTCCCAGGTGGAGGATACTGAGGCACATTCAACAGTTCCCCAGGGGTCCCTGGCCGGACTGAGCACCAGTGATCCATCATGGCAGCCGGCTCAGTAACTCACTCTTGGATTGGCTTTCCTTCCTCCCCTTTGTCAGTATTCCCTTGGATGTTCTTCCTCTTATGTTCCCTGGGATACCTTTCCAAAATAAATTGCCCGTGCTAAGCCCTTGTCTCAGTCCTTCAGTTGACCCCTGCTAAGATAAGGCATAAGATAAGCTCTCCACCTCCAGCCAGGTGGGGAAGGGGCATAGTTAGCATGAGAGGGGCCCAGCTCCTCCCCGATCCTAAAGCTTGGTAGAAGGCTTCACATCTAGCAGATGTTTTAAAACAACCAGTTAAGTGAAAAGAGAATGAAATGATGGCCAGCTATGGAAGAGACACTGCAACTAATCGCTGTGTTGTATGACATAGACTCTAACTAATGTGGGTTTCAGAGGAAACGATGAAGTCTCAAGCAGAAGATGATGAAGACAGGAGGGTGGTTCTGGAAAAGGAAATGAGTCCTAGCCACTGGAGACCCAGAGACTGGCCTCCCCAAAGCTGGCATCCTAGAAGGTGAGGGGAGGTGGGGCAGAGTACATTCAGATGAACGAGGGGTTCAACAACCTAGGGGATGAGCAGATTTTACACGGTGGTCCATGAAGGCTTGTGAGAAAAAGTATGGACCGATGTCTCCACTTAACCACACCAAACTTTCTACATAATCCCGGACAATCAAACACTTGGGCTTACAACCCCATGCCTGACTCTCTGTATCTCTTTCTTTTCTTCCCAGAGTGATTATGAATTGTCCGGGCATACTTTACACATTAATTTATTTAATCGACAAAAAACCCCATGAGGTAGGTTCTATTATTGCCCCCATTTTACAGATGGAGAACCTGGAAGACAGAGAAGTTACACAGCTGGGAGACAGAGCTGGGGTTAAACCCTGCCAGTCTGGCTCTCTCTCACACTTTGTCCCCCACAGTCAATAAAGTCACCACATCCCACGTGATAATCCCACGTGATTCCTTTCGCAGTGTTTCCCATATGTTGAATCCTTAGCATTTTCAGAACCTGTAACCACAGGTAACTCATACATTTCCTAGGTTTTGGTTGGGTTCCTGATATATATATATATATATACATATATATATCAGATGCTGGGCCAGCTGCGGGGGATAAAGATGCAAAGGCCTCACTCTCCAGGTAGTTCCCATTACACACCTTGCAAGATGAGCCATGTCATGGAGAGCTGAACCTACAGGTCAAGGTGAGAAGGTGAGCCTGGGCTGAAATTGGGAAGAATTGGTAGGTGAAAAGCACAAATTCTCACTCATCTCAGAAGAAGTGTCACTGAGCATCTGCCCTGTGCTAAGCCATAGAAGGTAGGAAGGAAGGAGAGGGACACTGAAATGAGTTACCATACAGTCCCACTCAATCCTCATACCCACACAGGTAAGGCATAGCAAAGCTGTTCACACCAGGCCTTAGATATGGTAGATCTGTAATAAGAAATGATCATTTCAGTCTCCTTCTAACATCACTTTAAGTCACATAACTTATAGTAGTTTTCCATAACTGACCAGATTAAACCAAGTTCCTATTGTAGGTATTCAAGGCCCTCATCTTCTACTCTCCACTTGGTTCAGACCTCACTACTCGTTAAATCAATCTTTTTCTTCCCAGTACATTACAAGCAAATAAGAAGAAAATAGTCACACTTTATGTGTTTGCCCATGTGATTTACTTTGCTGGTTACTGGTCTTCTTTATTTCTATCTGTCTTTATCCATGGCCATTTTCAAAAGTATCCGATGATTTTTTTTTCCACTCACATGGCTTTGGTCTTTCCTCTACCACAGTCCCATGGCACTTGTAGATTTAAGTCTCTGGGGTGTTTGGCACCAGTGGATTTTACTCTCTATGGTTCTTACAGCCATGCATGTATGAGTTGGCACATAGTAGGTGCTCAAGAACCCTTATCTGATTCATGATGAAGTGTTAAGTAAGTACCATAAGGAAATATCGCCCATGATCTTACATTGTGCTTTAATATAACTTGTTATAAAACCTTCTTTCTCTTCCTCCTCATAGATAATGAAATATACTGATTCATCAGCCTTGTAAATAAGCCCAGTCTCCCCAAGGAACTACTGTGATATGAATGAAATCATCATTTTACACTGGACATGATGCTTCTAGAAGACTGTTTGGCACACCATTAACTCCCAATAACTATTTGTGGAAGTGAATTAAAATAATCAGCTTTATTTCACACCTGTCACATACTATATAATGTGGTAAAGATTTCCTGTAACAAAGTTTGCAAGATGAATTTGAAGAGCAACCCCGATCAAACATAGAAAAAGTAGTTTTACCCACTCTACACACTGTACTATCCTAAAAGACTAGGCCACTTTCTTTTTCCTGGACTTCACAATCTGTCAATTGCTTAAGTTAGTTAAGACCATCATCCCTCTCCACCCTTAGGAGCTCCTAATGGGAACCTGCCCATCACTGGATGCAAAATCTGAAAATGGCATTTTCAAATACTTTGTGGAGAATACTATTTAATGACACTACTGACAGTCACTTTAAGTAGTGTGATCACAATATGCTAAGTATTTAAATACAACCATCTCATTCCACTTAGACCTTTTTGAAAGAAAATAATTAAGTAATCAAAAAAGTGAAATTTTTATCCCCCAAATGATCCGGAATTAACATAAAAGAAAAACTGAATATCGTAGAGAGGATACGAATTCTGGGACTCCAATGTGTAACAAACAAAAATGCTTTGGTATCAGCCAATATGAATCCAACAGATAATAAAGGATACTTTGGAAAATTTGCCTCTCATTTGAGGTTGTTGTTTTTTTTCCCCCTCCAACAATACTCTACAGAATGTGAGTAAAATCTGTTAGACTACTGTTTGAAACCTGCCTCAGTCCTTCTAATCCATGCACCTCCCGGTTGCATTGAGATCTGCCGGGTGACACATGAGATCTAAAGTGGGTGGATAAAAATAACCTGGTCCTCAAAAAGACATGATAAACGCCAGACAGCTGAGTCACTTTGAAGCCCATCTGACTCTGGAAAGGGACATTCACCCTCCTTTTCCTTGTCGCACATATACATGCCACCTGGTGAAAAACACTACCAACCGCCCTGGGTGGAAGGCGGTGATCCGTAGTAACTCCCCCCCCCCCCCCCCCGCCCAATCCAGTCTCAGGTCACGACCCGCGGCTAAACTTTTAATAATTTATACTAATGCATTTCAGCCCAGGCGATTCATGTAGAGGAGTAAGGGGAATGATTGAAAGAAACCATAAAATCCAGAAGACCCTCTATTTCTGCTGCCCAACTGGAGGCACTCGAAGGTTTCTTCTGACATTCTAACGGGAAGAAAAGGTGTGGGGAGCAATAGAAAGTGGAGGAAGAAAAGCTCGGCGAGGAAATCCGAGTCGTCCGGGAGTGGGACTCCCTAGGCAAAGCAAACGGTCCCAGAAAGAGAAGGGCTGTGTGTGTCCGGGGCGGGGGAGCGGGGGGTGGGGGGGATCGATGCGGTCCACCCAGCCGCCCTCCGCTCTCGCCCCCAGAGAGGACGCAAACCATCCGCAACGTGCAGTTAAGATCAGGTCTTCGATTGGATCTATCTTTCAAACGGTGGCGGGGCTGGGGCCAGGCAGCTGCGAACTGGGGCCCTGTCAGCCTAGGACGGCTGGCGGAGCCAACCCCGCGGCGACCCCGTCTTCAGCTGCAGCAGCCTCGGGGCCAAGAGCGCCCCGCACGCAGTAGGCGCTCACTCGGTGTCTGCCGAACTGCAGTGCCCCTGAGCGCACTCCGCCGCCGCGGGAGGAGGTCCCCGGCTGCCACTGCGCATCTTCTCCCCCAGCTTCACGTGCCGCCCAGTTCCGCGGCTCGCGGCCGCCACAGGCCGCTGGCGCCGCGACCCTCCCCCGGGGCGCCGCGAACGCCGCCGAGCCTCACTTACGGGGGAGTCGTACGAGAAGGCGCACTCGTTCTTGTACACCCTGTCCCCCGACCTGGGCACGCGGATCGTGGGCATGTGAGGCACCAGCAGCTCGCCGATGTCTCCTGCAGCCATCTTCCTGCTGCCGCTGCCGCCCGGCATGCCGAACAGGGCGCCCCGGCGCTGCATGGCCGCGGCGCGCACCCGAGCAGAGCCGAGCCGAGCCGGGTCGGGCCGGAGCGCTGGGTCAGCCCGCGGCGGCGGCGGCGGCGGGCTGCGCGGGCGACCGGAGCCGAGCCGGGGCTGGCGGGCAGAGAGGGCCGCGGGGCGGGAACGGGCACCGGGGGCCTGGGGCGGGCGGGCGGGGGTGTGGGGGACGCTGCTATTTTTAATCCAATGGCGAATCGCCGGCCCAGCTGCAGCGTCAGGCGGGGCGCTGGGGAGCGCCAGCCGCAGCGCACAGGGGAGGGGGCGCTGGAGAGGGGCCCTGCGCCCGGATCCGGCTGGGCGGCGGGCGGCGGGGGCGGGGGACGAGCCCCCCGGCCGCGGGAGCCGGGAGCCGGCGGGGTGCTCCGCTCGCCACCGCCGGCGGGCTGCCGTGGGGTACGCCCTCGGTGTTTTCTACCCTAGATCGATAGGTTGCGAAGGGACAACTCCGAGGCAGCGAACACAAAGAGCAGGATTTGGGGGTTTAAAAACCGCTTGCTTTTAAAACAACTGAAGATAAAAGCGGGGACTTCCCCTGCCTGGGTAGGGGTGGAACTCGATGTGCAAATCTGGATTGCACAGCGTCGGGCCCAAATCTGAATTTGCGCTGTGCACTTCGGTGGTAACCTCACTAAACCTTGTTCCCCACTTTTTTAACATCTAAAGCTTATTAAAAGAGAATAGAATAGGATCCAGTAAGGATGGACATAGATTTTTGCAATAATACAGATTTCTTTCTTACGTATGGTGAGCAGGATCAAGATTTTTTCGGGGCGGGGAGAAGCTTTATATTTTTCTCTTTGGAACGTATTTTGCTTGATTTGTTCGAGGTCTCCCGAGTCGAACGTTGAAGAGCCTGATTTGAGCATCTTATTCAAACGCACGTATTCCTGTCTTCAGGTCCAGTTCCTCAAAATAAACAATGAATGGGGAAGGGGGGAGGTGAATAATTTGCGAACAGAGCTTGCCTCACAGCATACTCTCATTTTCTCCAAAAAAATTCTTAAAACACAGGTTCCATTCCGCTGAGGTTCCCTAACTACACCCAATGTAAAGGGCAGGGTACCCAGGGATTCCTGCCAATTCATAGAACACAAGAATAGCAAAAAATAGTGAATAAAAATGTTGGTTTCTGTAAGCCTCTCCCAAACAAATCAAACTATCTTTAAAATCTACCCCCCCCCATTATTTCTGCTACTCTGCCTGATTCTGCAAATGTGCCAGTTTCCACTAGGAGATGGCAAGGGTACCTGGAATTTGATGTGAAGTAGGCAGATGAGCCCCTCTCCTGCCTTGCTCTCCTTAATTTTCATACCTTCAAGCAAGGCTCAAGCACACCTCACATTCAGGTTCATGGATGATGCTTGCTTGTCCAATTACAGAGAAAAAGTTTATTCAAAGTCATTCAAACTACAGTTTAAAATATTTCTTTTTTTTTTTTTTAAGATTTTATTTATTTATTTGAGAGAGAGAGAATGAGAGAGAGCCCATGAGAGGGGGGAGGGTCAGAGGGAGAAGCAGACTCCCTGCCAAGCAGGGAGCCCGATGCGGGACTCGATCCCGGGACTCCAGGATCATGACCTGAGCCGAAGGCAGTTGCTTAACCAACTGAGCCACCCAGGCGCCCCTAAAATATTTCTAGATTAAATGCAATTTAAATTGAGACACCGTTTTTTCACCCTTCAGACTGGTTAAGATATGTTGAGTTGGCCTATGTGTGGTAAATAGGCCCTCCTATATATTGTTGGTGGGAATAAAAACAGTAAACAATAACAATATCGACCTTAATTTTATATGCATACGCTGTTTCCCCAGCAATTCTTCATCTAGACATTTATGCTACAGATAACTTCACACTGTGTAAGGATACTTGTTAGAGCATTGTTTATAGTAACAAAAGACTGGGAACAGCCTAAAGATGCCTGTGTAGGAAGTGGTTAAAATACAGCACTGTTGAGAAGAATGAAGCACTCAGTGTGTGCTGATGTGGACCAATTTCCAAGTCATATTACTAGATGAAAAAAGCAAAGTGCAAATCAGTGTGCAAAAGCAAGGAATGCATGCAAGGCACTCTTGTACACCCAGAACGCCACCGGCCTTCCGTCTAGTTGGTAGTACCTATGGTAAATATTTTATATATATGTGTATACACACACACACACACACACACACACACGAGACTACATTTTATATATACTGTGTGTGTGTATTTGTTTGGCCTTAAGATTATCTCTAGAAGACTACATATTTATTATGTGCAAGTATTGCTTTAAAAAATAATTAAAAATTATACAAACACTCTTAAGTTCAATAACCAGTTAACATGTTTGTAGTATATTAGCCTCACATACTTACAATGCTTATACAATATTATTGCAACTGGGTAAAAAATCAACACACATTTTGACAAGACTGGAAAGACATGTAAAATTTAAATAGTTATGTTTAGAATTTGGTTATAAGGTTTTGTTTCTATTTTCAAAATGTCTTCAAAGATGTTACGTTTGTTTTATAATATAAACATTTATTTTTTTAAGATTTTTTTAAATTTATTTATTCATTTGAGAGAGAGAGACAGCATGAGCTGGGGAGAGAGGCAGAGGGAGAGAGAGAAGCAGACTTCCCGCTGAGCCGGGAGCAGATGCGGGGCTCCATGTGGGACTCAATCCCAGGACCCAGAGATTATGACCTGAGCCAAAGGCAGACACTTAACCATCTGAGCTACCCAGCCACCCCTATAATATAAAAATTTATTGAGACAAAAAGTAAGAGAAACATCAATGAATTAAGACAATGTCTTAATCATGCCATTTCAGGAAAAAAAAATCTGGTTCAGTTACTGGAACTTTTTAACTTAATTTTGCAAATTCTACATATGAATTTATAACCAGACTACTTTACTGGGAAAAGTTTCCAATTAGCAATAATGGCGCCTCAGATAAAACCTCATTGGCTCCAACACTGCCACTGGGCAAAGTTCAGCCAGACTATCTTACTAACGGACCGGTTTCTATGTGTAGATCTTGATCAAAGAGCCAGGAATAAAGTGAGGATGGGTCAACAATTCTCACTTCCACCATAAATCCACAGTCTTGCTGAAGAGATTTCAGAGGACTAAGATTAAGAACTTTTTCCACATCAAGTATTCAGGCCACCACATCACTACTGTTCCAAAGCCTCCTCAGATGTTGTTCGCAGTGAGTCTGTCTCCAATGGCCCAGCATTTGAGGACCTCGCCCTTTGGCACTCTTTCAGACTTCAGTCCCACACCTACTTCTGTAAGCTCAATTATATCGTCCCCAAGAATAAATGTACTTGTCTCCTAGCCTTGGTTGAAAGCTCTCCGCTCCTTTCAATCTTCTCAGTCCTTTCAAGCCTTTTCTGACCCCTGCAACCCTCGGGGACCAATCTTAAATACAGACAGCTCCTGTTGCCTGTACCCATCACTGCATTCTGCCGTATGACATCTTTTGTACGTTATTTAATTAGTCGGGGTTCCATATCTTTTCCCTTTATATAGATAACACACTCTGAAAAAGTTATTTCTCTTAGTATCCTTGCACATTGTGGAATATTGCCCACCCAGAAAGGTACTGCTCTGTTTATTTTAGGCACTCAATAAGTACCTACCAAGTGAATGACTCACATCTGTGACATTGTAATAGATATGTTTTGCAGTCAACTTTGTGTCTTTTAGGTAAAATTCATTGTCTCACAAATGTTCCCAGAACCAACATAGGTTACATTAAAACATGACATGAATGTTACTGTGACTAATGCCAAAAAGGGGAAGTGGGGAAATCTACAGAGAAAAAAGATATCTTAATTACTTCAATTAATGGAATAGCTCTTGAACTCAGATGTCCTCCGATAGTGTGCAGTGATCTATCTAGTAAAGCCATATATGGTGATAGCTTGTCGTGGAGGCATATCCATAAAATGTTCTATCCTGGCAGATAGTCGCTGCAGGAAGCACTGGTTATTAAGTGTAAAACAATAGGTCACTGCTTAAGAAATGTAATATGTTTTCCATTTGAGAAAATTCTATATAACCATCAAAACTCATGTGACACAAGAATATTCATTGACATGGAAAAATGTTCACTATAATGCAAACTTCAAGGACAAGTTATAAAGGAGCACATACAATATTCTTCTGTTTAAATACATACACGCATATATACATAGTCATAGCAGAGAAAAGAGATTCAATTGGAATAGGCTGTATGTTAATGGTGGTTATCTCTAAATGAAAAAAAAATTTTGTACTTTTCTGTGTTATTTAGATGTTTTACATTAACTATCCATTTCTTTTTCTTAGTAAGGGGAGATGTTAACTTTTTACACTACCACTGATTATGTCAATTTCTTTTCCACCTGCCCTAACTTGTTTGTCCCCTTCACCACCCATATAAAACTAAGCAAGTTTCTGCTGTTAGGTTTATAGGCAGGCTGCATAACTAGAAGGTAGGGTCACACTGGAATGAGCAAACTCCTTGAAAAACTCTTAACGTCAAGATGAGGTAAGCTGTTACTCAGTTTGAGAGGAAATCTGAGATCCCTGTTCACCTTTTGAGTTCTGTGATGTGTAATACTAAACCACAGTTCTTCCAGAAGCCTGACTCATAAGTTACTCATAGAGATAGGTAGGCATACTGCCTTTCAGACCAATCTGACACAATCTCTACTCATGCCCACTTGCCATTTCCATGTGCACACAGGAAGACATGTCCTCCATTCAGGTGTAGAAAAGCCTGTTGTAAATACGGTAAAAAAAAAAAATTATATATATACACACAATATATATACACAGAGACACACACATCACCATGGGGCCACAGGCCGCTTTTCAGGTTTCCTAGTAAAGCAGGTTACCTAAATATGATACATATTGGCTCCAAAATCCAAAGAAACTCATCAAACATTATGCCTCATTCTTTTTTATTATTATTATTTATTTATTTGAGAGAGAGAGAGCACAAGGTGGGGGGAGGCACAGAGGGAGAGGGAGAAGCAGATTCCCTGCTGAGCAGGACTCCATCCCAAGACCCTGAGATCATGACCTGAGCCGAAGGCAGACGCTTAACCAACTGAG